AACAACTTTGGTGAGCAAAGGTAGGAGAGGATGCGGGGGGGAGGGGATAAAATAAAGGAGCCCCTTGTGGGGTAAAGCACTGAGATGGACGCTGGGCAAGAGGGGGGGGGAAGGATGGGGGGGGGGGGGGGCTTATTTGCTGTTTGTTCCCGTTGCCCCCCTCCCCTTTATCTCACCCACACGCCCCCCCTGTCCTTCAGGGCTGAGTTGGTGGCACGCAGCCTGGCAGCCATGCCTGCACGCATCGCAGCTTGGCGCCTGGAAAAGGAGCAGATGAGGGAGAAGAGCCGGCAGGATGCGGCCCGGCGGCAGCGGCTGCTGGCAGAAGCTGCCGAACGTTTGGGGACCCCGGTGCGGCCCGGTGATCCCCGGGTTCAAGCATTGATGCAAGACCTGGAACGGGAACGGCGACGCCAAGAGAAAAAACAACGGAGGCAACAGCATGAGGAAGCAACCCGCAGTGCTTTGGCTGCTGCTGAGGCTGCTGCTGCGTCACAACCCCCCCCTGGGGGCTCTGAGACCCCCCAGTAAAGCTAAAACAAAGGTGGGGATGTGGGTTTGCTGGCCTAAAACCCTACAGAATGATCGGTGTGTATTCAGCGTGAACTGCCCCACCGTGACCCCCCGGCAAACACACGTTAAAACCACCATGGGTTTAAAATTCTGCATTTAATCTCTTCCCAAGCTGGGTTTGTCCCACGGTTCTGCCCTCCCACATAAGGAGGAACAGGGAGGAAAAAGGAGGAGGGGGTTGGGGAAGGGGGGGGGGGGGGGCCGGGGAACCGGGGGGGGGGGTCACCCAGAGCACAGCCGGCTCGCAAGGCAGCAGGCAGGATCTGGGGGTGCGCAGCCATCGCTGCCCCCTCTCTCTGTCTCTCTCTTGGGGGGTGAGGATGGGCCTCGCTGGGCCCCCCCCCACCCCCGCCATCCCCTGAGGGCAGAGATCGAAAGGGGGAGGAAGGGGGAGTCCTGCATCCCCCCCCCACCCCCCGCAATGGGGTGGGAGGAATCCCCCCGCCCCCCCC